AAAAATTCACCAGGACCAAATACATATTCATAAATTCTATTTTCTCATTCAAATCTCACAACTGAATTAGGTTTTTATGGTCATATTCTCCACACATTTCTGCGTTTACTATTGCAGGTATGTAATTATTTCTTTTAGGAAGACCATTAAGAGTAAGGAATTACCCAACAATTTATATATTGCAGAACATTTAGCTTGCGCTTCACGCCATAAGAGATGCTAACAATGGGTATGCGATTCTGATCTGTACCCTTGTCCTGGTTTATTCACTAATTAAGCTTTCGCGACACCTTAAAAAATATGTTCCACATTTAAACGTCTTTCCTGTTTATAAATTATAAATATTTGACGTTTAGCCTTAGGATAACAAGTATACACCTCAAAATTTCGGACTGCTGTTTTGATCCAAGTAATCGATCATGATGTCTTCCGTTTTAAGTGAATCAATTTAAATAAACTAACACTGCTCATTGTGGGAATTCGGAAAACTATTTGGGTGCCGAATCAGAAATTGTTGCTTACAATGCCTTCTAAATAAACCTAAAACCCGACTTCCAGGGTCACGAGCTTGATCGTGGTCTGTTGGGAACCTCAACGTTCCCAAAACGGCTTAATTAGTGATAACACTTGTGACATCTATTCACTCAGCTCTGTTCACACAGTTACAAACCTACTACCACGCTACAACATTGTTCATACCAAAAAACTCACGACGCAGTGTTAATTACTCAAATAAACGATCTCTGATCGACAAATTGTATGCATTTGACTTTCGCATTAGCCCCAACTTGTGCTCTTACTTTTGGCTGGAAAGGCAGGGCTTTCTATTTGAGCTTCTGTCTTTTTTTCTGGAAAGCCTTCGACGTGCCGAAGGGTTAAACTATGCTTGGGATTTGAATCTACAAACCGAGTAAAACCTAGGATAGACGCATAAACACACGTCTCAGTGAACACAGATACAAAGTGGCTTATTACAATGACGAAAAACTGCTCTAAAGCACGTTAATAAAACCATGGTTAATGGACATGAATGAAGATAGCCGTATAAACTTCACTTAGTCACCGCTTGAATCAGGAGTGCCAAAAATTTTGGCAATGATTATTCCAACAAATACTTCCTCCGAAAATCGACAACCGACACGTCCGCTATTCTGTGGGAAGTGGAAAATAAATCCCCCATATCGTCTTGAAGCCCGTACACTGCCGATTTTCAATTGCAGTCTATCGGCATCGGTAGTGAAGAATAGAATGCAGTAAATTACAGGTCTGGATGTTTGTGTTTTACCTGCCTGTGTGTGTCATGAAGGTGACAATAGAATTAATGAATAGCCAGAAAAAAAGGCGTTGAGCTAGTTATCGCCTCTTAATCTGGTCGGAAAATTTTAAGGATTGGCGGTTTGCTTTTCATCAGAAGACTCATGACTTCACTTACTCAAGGTGTAATTCCATCTGTCATTATTGTACTGACGTCACTAGTACATTTAACATAATTCAATCTGGTCTGGTAGCATCGGCCCGGGAATAATCAGCAACGAAAAGGTAAATAAGGACTTTACGATGGTCGTCAGATTATTTTTTAACCTAAACGTCAACAGGCAAATGCGAATTGTGGGTACCGTATGAAGAAAAACCGGGGCCTTCAAATAAGATGAAAATCGGCTTTTAACGCAACCACAAATGCAGCATTTTTGTACAAACTGTAGTTCAAATTTTATACAACCAAACCGCGCTTATAAGTTTCGGTGCGAGATACGAAAGGAAATACATTACATCGACCTCCTAGGTTATAGTAACATGCATAATATCAAAATAGAAGATAAACCGTTAGCAATAATTTTGAAAAGTCCCAACTGATTCCAAGTGTATCTCCAGTAAAAACATAAAGCACACAAAATATAGTAATGTTTATTAATTTATGTCAAGAGGAAGCTTGCAAAATTAAATATGCGCTGCACTCTCACTAGAAACACACTTATTAAATATTTACGGATACAAACCTGCTGGATTGCACAGTACAGGGCATTCGAAAGTGTTTGTTGCTGTCATAATACAGATGTTCCATTGATCAAGTTAAAGAGAGTTAACGCGCATCAAGATTCACCGGATTTTGAGCCTGATCTAATTATAGCATTTGAGGCATTCAGGCGATTGTCATGAGTAATGGTTAACCGTGGGTCACCGTTAGTGCCACAAGAGCCCAGGCCAATTAAGCAGCTAGATTCATAATAGACAGATGCTTGACTGAACGAGAAAAATAATCGAGACGAGATATAAATTTATACGTATCAACAATCATATGAGCACAACAGGCATGGTAAGCAAAATAATAAAACACAAAAGAAGCGGAGACTATTCTACCCGAAATAACAGGTAGGGCTAGCTTCACTTCAGTAGCACCTCGTTTGCAAGTGAATTAGAAAGTGGAATAGAAGCGGCACACCGCAACCGTGAAGTTCCATCGTAGAGCCACAGAAATAACAAAGAAAATGACGAAGAATGTTCCCGCTAAGAGAATGGCTCTTGTGTGTTTCAGGAATGGCAAAGCTAAAAAAAGAAACAAGCTTGGTAACGAAAATTTACTCCTGTGAATTCAGACTAGACACATGAAAGACTGGCTTTGCATAAGTAGTTTCGGAAAGGACATCAAGGTTTAAAATTACACGACATGAAGTACTAGCCTAACTGATATTTGTATTAAACATTAAAACACCAATCAACCCGATGTTCAAATTTTAGTTGTGCAGCTAGTCAGTAAAGATTAGCATTTATAAAAATAACTGTTTTCTGACAGAATTTTATGAGCTAGCATGAGTTCGACTCCGAACTGCACTTACCAAACTTGTAACCTGTCAGAAAGTAGCTTGAACAGCTACTCGAATTTCTGTGCTTTAGTTGAACTCTACACTTACGGTTATCCAACAATTTCATGGACACATCCGATAGTATAGACTACAACGTCAGACCACAAAGTAGCTTTCTACAAATAATGTCTGTTGAAGATTCCCGTCAGATTTACACTTTAAAAAAATTTAAAAGCGCAAATCAAGATACCTTTGAGACCAAGAAAAGTGATATAAATGTAGTAAAGAATTCCTGTGAGCCAAAATGAATTTCCAAGAAGGCTTCCCAAAAGTGTTTCCCTCCGAATAACTGCAAGACATAAAAGTGACTGAGTTTAGTTAGGTCGCAATAATGAGCTCAGTGAGAACTTAAGAAGCCGAAAGACTCAAGCAATCATTAACCCAAAGTGGACGCAAAAACGATTTACAATAGAGGACTTTAGGATTCAGTACATAGAACAGCTAAACTCAACCATGGTTGGAGTTAAAACCTTCGGCAAAAATCAAAATTTAGATTAAAACCTAAGCTTGTTTTTTACTTCACAGAAGGAAACCTCTGAAAGGTAATTAAAAGTGTGCATATTCCTAAGTTAAAAGGACAGTACCAGAAAACGATAGAAATTAACGAGCAAAAAACAACTGGGCTGGGTGATCTAATGTATGGTCGCACTGCTACCGTCTATGATCTTAATCATTCAGTGCATCTGCACAGTATGGACAAACAAAATATTAACAATAGATTTGTAAGACATGCATAAATAAAAAGTAGCACTGTTCCAAGCAATGACGAATAAAGCTTTTTTTAAAAGAAAACTTCCTGATCTACCAGCTGCAAGGATATCTATAGAAATTACAAGACGGAGTGGTTACAAACCGTTAAACAATTAAGACGGTGAAAAACGATCAGGATTGGAGATGTTGTTCGCCATGAACGAAATGCGGAAGAATAAGTTGGAATAAGTTTTGCGCAAAATTGACAAAGATTTGTGACTTGGCAACATTGGTAGCGGTAAAGTTAAAAGAGAAGAGCTTTAAACAGAAAACGACTACCACAAAAGGTGAGTTCATTGATATAAATCTCTAAACATACAATGGTCCATGGAAGATCAAAAAAATGATCAATGTGGACATAACTTACGGCGATATTGATAAGGAAAATTACGCCAGATTTAGCAGTGCCGTAAAATTGCAACCATTACTGTGGTTGAATTTTTGCCAGACAAAAAGAGCCTAGCTTCCCGCTCGATACAAACTAGCTTCACTGAAGAGAATAAGAGCACAACCGAAAGACACAAAGTTAACAGAAACCTTGAAGTAAGACTCACAATAAAATAACATAGGCTGTATGAGACGTAAAATGATTATGCAGGGGAAGAGTGCGTTCAGGTGGATATCAAAAGTGTAGGCCCACTCAACATCAGATGGGTGAAGATGCGAACTTTCGGAGCCAACCGAGTCATCGTCTGATGAGGCACCTGAAAGATTTCGTCTCAGTGTGACTCCTCCAACGTTTACGGTCTGGATCATCCAGTGATTAGCGATTATCCACATGCATGTTGCAACCACCAAACCTGATAAGATGCATTCAACAAACACGGACCATAAGAGTAGTTTTAGCCAACCCCAAAAGGTATGACCAAGGATTGAGGAGTAAATTGACGTAGATACTAAAAATAAATGAAATAAGGCACCAAATGGAGCAGAAAGTAAAAGAGGCAGCAATTGTTAAACTCATACAAAGAGAAAGTACTTATAGTTTTGGAAACAAATACGTCTGAAAAAAGGTATAAGAAAACAAGTTTACAATTATTACAACCTAAACACTAAATTAGAAAATTACTGCACAAACCGCTTTTAAGCGTAAAGTCAAGCACGCGGATAAAGCAGTAAAATCATACCAAATATCCACGGAAAAAGGAGGATAATGAAAGCAGGATCATCACGCGCCCACTGGTTTCGAGTACCTAATCAAAAATTGTCAATATATGCAAAAAATACACTGGTGATAACTGAAATTCCTGTACAGCTTTTGAGGTGACACAAAAATGTTGACCATTTGCCACGAGGCATATTCAAAGTCCATTTGTCTAAATTTGTAAAATCTGGAGAAGTACGTTTTAGCTTTCTCCCATGCACTCAGTGAAAGGTGAGAGCATGATTGACCACATAAGTTGCAAAAACGGTTACGTTTATGCATGTTTCGACGGTTAGTATTATCAACAACAAAAACGTTATTGAAGACTAAGTCACTAGAATATGACTCCATTAGGAGCAGCCAAAAGTATGGACCTCAAGGAAAACAAGAGTAAGAAAAACCCCAAATTCGTCAAAAGGACCACACAGGTTCAAGTAAATTAAAACTAGCCAGCACATTCTCCACAGCCGTTGTTCACGCTTAAAGAGATTTAAGTACAACTTATTATAGCTAGTATTTACATGTTATTTTAATTGATGCTACATTAATAAACATTTTGCATGTGATAATATAAAAATCCACAGACTTTTAGTCAGGTTTAAATCAAGTTAAATAATTTATATATTTACACCTAAACCAAAAGGGAAAACGGATATCAGTAAGGTGTTTTTTAAAAGGGGACAGTGACACGAAAATATTTATTTTTGCAATGCAATTGGCATGATCGATCATGATTCCTTCGTCCGAGTCCCTTAATCTCTATTCGTTTTAAATTTTTAAAATGCTCCTAATCCATCCTTATTTCTAGATAGCAGATTTTTTTGCGTTGGCTATGCGAGAGAATAGGAATTATTTGGAGACCAGAATGGATGATCAAGTAACCTGATTATTAATTAATTCCTGATGCAAAAATGGACAGATGCAAATTATAAATATTTGACAAGTTTCAACAATCTATCCTATCGATTTTTTAGATATATATCATTGCTTCATCAAAAAAAATTATTTTAGTTTCCCTCCTTTTAAATTTCTTTGCATTTATTATGCGACAGCAATTATTAAGACTTTAATTACGCCAGACTGGTACAAAACCTAACCGCTAACATTTAGGGAATCTAATTTTATTCATACCTATCTTAAGGGGAAATAAGAAATGCAAGATTATAACAAAGAGTTTTGAAGAGATTTCATTCTAAAATTCAGTAGAGGAAAGTGATAATTATTAACGGCTAATTAATTCATTCCACCTAATCAATATTTTTTTCTTAAAAACGTCAGCAGCATTAGCTTTCTAAATGTTTTGGCTACATGAGAAGTTAGCTCAAAAATTTAGTCTTTCGAAACGTTTGACTTGAACTTAGTTAAATTTCGGAAAGCTTTCACAGGGTAATTGTGTGATGGAAGACAGTCTGAAAAAACTGTTTCTAGTTTTAGTATGTATTTATGATTTAAAAACTAAAAATGCCTGCCATTCGCAACATTAATTTGTTGAAACGGATTTCTCAATATTAACAGTTTATCATTTTGTTTTAATGGATCCTATTGCGTATTTCATTTATAAATGTTTCTTGTGGTTAATGGGTCCAAACGTTTTCTTTGCACTAATATACCCTTATATTGAGCTACTTTTAAGTATACAGAACATTTATGGAACTTGAAAATATAGTGGCTAACACTGTGTACATTAAGGCCAAAGAGAGTAGATTATATGCTTTGTAATCTTGACAATAAAGGTGGGACAAATAAGGATAAAGGTCGTAGTAAAAGATGGAGGGATATTCTAGCATTTCCTCACATAACTGTTGCACGTCGGGTTCTTCGGACTCTTGGTAATATTTGATTGATTTTTTGTAATGTCACAGATGTCTCTTTTAAGTACATAGTTCTCAGGCAGCCCATTGGAAGAAGACTCTTTTGGTGTTATTGTCAGTCTAAGCCGGCACTACGGAATCTGATTGATTTCATCGACCTTACCGTAGCACCTACATATTTGTGACATTTTTAGGAGTTATACGAGGTTAATCTTGATGAGTCGGGCCTTGATATCGCCAACGAAATTTTAATTAAGTACCTGTATCCAAATGTATGGACCATCCCTTTAAGTTCACATTCATAGGCCAAGCTTAAAATAAGACATTTTCCTGAAGAGGCTGTTCTCAATGTCCTGACTCGGTTTGAACAGCTCCCCTCTCCAAAAAGCCCTCCAAGGGACTTATTTGCAGGGTTAATCGAGTAAGGTTTCCTCAATTAGTCACCTTGTAGATTGACAGAATCGTGGTTGAAATTCACAATTTTTCTTGCCTTTACAAAGACCATATATTTTGATCGGTATTTACAGTGGAAATGGCTTGAAATGTAAGTGCTGATTTCAGACAAATATCGTTCCGTTTCGAATCTTTCCTTAATAAATATTTTTGACATTCTTATGTTAAATTTTCTAAGTGTTTCTGATTTCTATTATCAATATGTTTTGAGCTCAGTTTTATTGTTTTTGTTGTTGGTCTCAATAGAAAACATAATCGTTCGTTACAGGCAACCTGTTACCAAAGACACTTTTCGGATGTATCGCGTTTTGGGTAAAGGAGGCTTTGGTGAAGTCTGCGCCTGTCAGGTCAGGGCAAGCGGAAAGCTTTATGCATGCAAGAAGTTGGAAAAAAAGAGAATCAAAAAGCGCCATGGTGAGCAACTTGCCTACGCCGAAAAAAAAATACTCCAGAAAGTGCATTCGCGTTTCGTGGTGAGTTTTACACAACTATTTTCAATGCTATTATAGACCTTTCTTAGTACCTTAAACTAAGGTTGCAACACATCATGTTGGATTGTTTCTGCTACCGCAACAACACAATTTTTGGATTTCCTCCTTATATTTTAACGCTTCCTTCACCATACTTCCATTGATCGTTCCTATGTAACCATGCACCGGCATAATTCGTAAATTTGCAACCATTAACTAGTGTTATAGCAACAGCCTACCAAAGATTATGTCAGTCAAGGGAAAATTTGGAGATCCATAAATTTGGCACCTAAGTTAACAATGTCAGCGGACTTCTTTTTGTGTTAAAAAAAGTATGGGCAGTAAATCGAACTTGCTAACACCGCATCATCTCGCTCATTTACGTATGCTTTATCAAACAGGAAGCTTTTACTAATAGTGCACCTAGGTGTTTCTTAGTGTGTAAACAGAAGTGGCAGTTTGATTGCTTGCATTCGCCCTTGCTTGCGTTATTGCCACGCTAATGTGCTCTCGAATGTTCGTTGATTTTCTAACTGTACGGTTCTTGGACGGGAATTACATGTACTTGGTTGTGTCTCCCAGCTACCCTTCACTTGATCACAACCTCAGTCGTCTTTTCCAAACCCTTGTAATGAAACAATAATGCATTTTCCTTCTATGTTCAACTGACAGAGTGACAATTTAAATGGATTCTATCGTTGAACGTAATTCTGCAGAGCATCCAAATTAGTAATAGCCATGCCACTGTGTTTCGCAAAATGTGTTCACCTCAATAAAGCACTCTGCATACAAAATTGGTTAAATAAAACGATATTGGGTGATGTTACAAAATCGACATAACCGAGTGACGATATTGCGTCGTTTGTGAGTTACAGGCAAGTTGTATAATTGTCTGACATCATGCACACCTCAAAAGCCTACGTGCAACAATCTAGGATAGCTGACAAATGCGGAAACAGTTGTCTTCGCCTCTGACACCAAACATCTCCATGTGCCGGTTGTGGTGTGCAGTTTAGGTAAAATTGAGGCCTGATGGGATGCCAAAGTGATTGCGAAAGTAAGCTCCCCAAAGAGTCGCCACTTTTGGTTGCTTGGGCACGCCATTAAAGTCCTGTCGTTTTGTTTTGCCATTTAATGAAAATTAGTACTTCCAACGTATCCCAGGGAATGTTTATTCTCATGACCGCTTCCACTTTTCTCCATGTTACACCAAACCGCAAACAACCGAAACAATTTAAACTTCAGACTGTCTTCCTTAGTGGAGGTTTTACAAACCAGGTTCGCTAATTCAAAAATAAATTGTTAAATGAAAATTAGTACTTAGAGCGTATCCCAGGGGGTGTTTATCCCCATGTACTCTCACAACGAATCAATCAAACTGTGCGCATTTAGGCCCTGTTATTAAAGGTGGCCTTTTATATTGCTTTGGAACCAGTATTTAGGGCCGTAGTCTGTAAGCACCAGGTTCGAGCTCGTCACCTGGTGAGGGAACGCCTGCAATTTATCTGCAGAATAATCCTCTTATTAGTATAAAGACGTACACAATTTTGTATTTAGCTAAATGTCCTCCTGCGCATTGCTTGGTACTAAATCGTGTAAATTACTGGTGCTGATTCACACTTTCTTATGGGGAACAGCGCTGAACTTCATTGTATTTGCCCTAACTGTGTGCGACTGCTTCAGGTTTTCGCTTTAGTTTAATCTAAGACTATTTCATTGTGTAGTTCTATCTCGTTATTTTTCACAAAAGGCCAACACCAATTAGTGTATTGGCGCTTTTGTCTGCCACTGGTACGAAAACTTTCGGGGGACCATTAATGAAGTGACACCGTCGAGCCATGCCTATTGCTGCACTCGGATTCTTTATACGTACGCACGGGAGTGTGAACGCCTTGTTTTGTGATCTTGTACAATGAATAAAAGCACAAAAAGAAATTGTGATTTATGTTAGTTTGGGACAGGGTGGCATAATTCAAAACATTTTTTAAAAAAATGATAAAACTCAATCAATTTGAAACCTTTTTTTAAGTACACTGGAATAGTAGTTCTTTATGCCTGTGTTAAGAAGATCTTCGCACTTTAATAATTCTTCAGGTCATTGTAAATATACTCTCCTCCATTCCAGCTAGACAACGACTGGTTATAGACAGGAACAGCAATATATCCGACTACTAAAGGCTCGTATTTACCCAGGTTGAAACACGTTGCTAGGAAACCAGATTGACAAACAATCAAGAGAGCTAGTGGAACTATACTATGAAATTGATTCGAACTTACGTGTGCTAGTAAACTACTCTCTTTCACTTCTTGGCATTGTTTTGTTTTTGAGTGTTTGCGAGTTAAACTGCTGTGTTAAGGGTTTGACGGACATGGTTGGGTTGAAAGATTTAATCACGGATTTTGGACCATGGTCCTTATTCGAAGGTGAAAACGTACGCACACAGGGCATTTACATTTAGGTGCACAACAAAAATTGAACAGGCTGCACATTTCTGCTTTCGTCGATGTCGTTGTCGAAGTGAGATGCAGTAGCGACAACCAGGACGACAGGTAGTGCAGTTTGTGAAAAATTGTGGATATTACGCTTACCCATGTAACCGGCAGTTCCAACTCTGCCTTTGAGAGTGGAATGTTGGTCAATTTCCACTGCAAGACCGAGATCTGATATGCGAAGATGACCTACCAAAGAAAAAGTTGTACTGTTCGACACTAAAGAATATAAATATTCGACTAATTGCAGTACTGAAAGGAAAGTTCGCGTTAAAAACAAATATGCAAAGTAAAAAGTGAAAAATCGAATTTGTAAAGCACGTGGTGGTGAGTGACCAAAGAGGGCACTCAGAAGAAAAACCAGTGAGATATTGCTTACCATTGAAATTATGTCTTGGATAATTAACGAGCCACTGTTCGAACATGTTAGCTAAAGCAAAAGTGAGTATCCCCGAAGTAAAAAAAAACTATCAACAGACACATTCGAAAATTTTAGATATTTAGTGTTAAGACATCAATTGATGTGACAAGAAATCGAGGTCATATTTTTATTGTAGGACTACGTAAAATAGATCTCATCGAAAAATGTAGCCCCATGAAAACGCAGTTGAATTAGGAAAGCAAAAAAGATGATGCTGGCACAAATTAGACATTCGCACGAAAAAGGGCTCCACAAAAACCGTGCAAAATAGGGTGAGAATATTCTTGATACAAACATATCGACAACTGACAATATTTGCAAACAATTATTACTCGAAAGTTATGAGCAGAAAGTTAAAAAGATTTAACCAAACCACACAGAATTGTCTTATGACTAAATGTTGTCCTATCACCTAATAGCGCTTTTGCTCTACCTCCCGGCAGAACATTTAGAAGTAAAGCGACTAGTCCTCCAATTAATCCTAGTCGGTGTAATTGGGTTGGTGAGTTTTATCAGCAATAGTTAACAATAAGCAACAAGGCGCACGAAAAAACATGAAAGAAGACAATTCGTAATTTGATACAATAAAAAGCAATTCATGAAAGGCAACCAAGAAATTCACCATGCCCGCGAGGGTTGGGGTAGAATCCCGAGGTGAGGCTTGTGTCGTGAAAACAAAGACGATCAAACAATGGCCTCTGCAAAATATCAGACCCACTAACGACACCATAGCCCTAAATGGGATTTTACGCATTGGCGGCGCGCAGGACGCACGCATGCATAACCTCTTTCCAATAAACGATAAGCATTGACACTTAGCATCAAAAATATGCACATGTACGTGTCTGAAAAGGAATGGAGGAGTAAAAAACACCAGATCGGGAAAGGAAAGAATTGAGGGGCGGCCTGGAAAAACCATGCTCTAGAATTTAATGTGCGTGTTTAACGGGAATGATAATAAAGTTGTGGGGTTTTTAATTAGCAGTTTTAAGAGGAAAAGGAAAAAGTAAGGCACAATCAACAAAAGTACATGAAAACCAAGTGACTGATACTCCAACATCCGATCCTAAACAATTATGATTAATTAAAACGATGACAGACTACGAGTCCTACAAAACTGCGAGCGAGTTCATTGAGAGGCATTTTCGTACCCTAAATCTATCACGTTTTGCTTGGGGATAGTAATGTTTAGAGCATTGGGTAGTTGTAGCGCATCAAACTGAATCAATTTTGTATAGCGGAGACAGATAAACATGCATAAACCCTTCAAAATGTAAAACAAAATCAAAAGCCTACAAACTAAAAAGCTAAATCATTTTTAAAACATAAACCACCACCTTACCATGGTCGTCTATGAGGATATTTTCAGGTTTGAGGTCCCTATATACAATACGCAAGGAATGCAGGTGTTCCAGACCCAAAGTGATTTCTGCAGTGTAGAAACGAGCGCGACTCTCTGGGAATCCTGCGGCACTGCCCATGTTATGTATATGGAACTTAAGATCGCCTCCGTTCATTATAGTTAATACAAGACACAGTGCATCCTTAGTTTCGAAGGTATATGCCAGGCTTACCTGCCAAAATATCAAAACATTATGTCATTACAATTTCTATAATATCTATAATTAACACAGGCCACAATTTCTTTTTGTGCTTTTTTTCATTGTACAAGATCACAAAGCAAGGCGTTCACACTCCCGTGCGTACGTATAAAGAATCCGAGTGCAGCAATAGGCATGGCTCGACGGTGTCACTTCATTA